TAGTCACTTCTGATGGCCACCAAGTGAATCATGGTTAACTCTCCACTAAAACATGCATTTGAAGGATCACTGCTTTTCTCAATGGCAAGTATAAAGTTAATTATCATAGAAGGAGTTACTTAAAAATTCATGGGATTTTTTTGAACTTATCAGAGAGTATTCTTAACCTGTTAAGATTGGCTAACACTGGAAACTTATAATGTCAACATCATGGAGACTTTTGAAGGGGAAACAAGAAGACTCACTCTTTGAGGGCAGGAAAATCTCTTGGCACCAAGCACACAGTGGACAATCAAATTTGCTGAATGACTCATGGGGTTATTTTCAAGACATTTCTATTTTCTATTATGGAAAAACTTAAAACCTTACAAATGGATTCTACTTTAAAGGTGATCTTAAGAAAGTTACGTTTTCTACACCAGATCATTCAAATTTAACTGGGGTATAATAGTGTTTGTTCTCTCAAATGATGTTTACCTATAGAAATTAAGCAGCTTGTGAAAGAGCACGTATTACAAGTAAGAACTAAATTATCAACATAGAAATGTTAATATTCTTTCAAAAGTTCCTCAATTTAATAGCCTCATAATTTCACTCTCAATGTTCTGAGAAATAATTTGTTCTCCTAAGTGATTTCTTTGCATTCACAGGAATTTAAATTAGCATATTTAAATCAATAGGCATGCTTTTTAAAGCTACCTCCTTTACTTCTTTATAAGCTTATCATAATTGTTCCAAGAACAATTGTAAAGAAATAATAAGCATTATTTCTTCATAGCAGTGAACCACAGTAAATTACATAGAATATAGACTTAAAAGACCTAAAATTGTCCAAATCTCTAATGAAATGTAATTTAAACCAGTATCTTAGAATTGACTTTAAATAAATGACTAGGATAGTACTGTTTATCCTGAAGCTTACTACAAATTATCCAAATCTGGACTATGTCTAAAATGACACCTGAAGAAAAGTTATTCTATGCCTCCCACTAGACAATTTTAACATCTAAAAAGTAGTATAATGTTATCACAAATACTCAAACATTGATTAAATTATGATATGGCAATATAAACTCTAGCTAGTTATTATTAAGCTGCAATAATAATCTTGATTAACCTTAATACTTAGGCCTAGTTACAAAACTTCCTGTCTGATCACTGTATTCATAATGAAGAAACCTGACTAGTTTTATTCAAATTGAGCTATTATACATTTTTGCAAGGGTTACATAGATATGAAGTGTGATAATTAAAATTAAAATATTTTAGAAGAACCTAGAAATGCATATAGACCCATGATCTAATCTATGTTAGCTGCAAACTAGCAGTAAAAATAAAGAAATTGTATGTAAGGATTTATACACAGAAGTGCCTATAATAAGCATTCTTCACATTTACATTTGTTAGTGTGAGTAATCTTAAAATTGGTCAAAATCTAGACTTTGTTCATTTTTTTTCTGTATTTTTAGGGAAGGGTCTACAGGGTGTTCAAGGTTTCACTGCTAGATCGGACTCATAGTGATCCACCTGTTTACAGCTTTCCAAGTGCTGGGATTACAGGCAAGTACCACCAC